TGACCACGTACGCCGGGTCCTCGCTGTAGTTGTCCAGGATGGGCTTGCCTGGCACCGCGGCGGGGCGCGGGGGCGACAACGGCGACGGCTGCGACGAGAGGCGTGCGAGCAGCTACGCAGCACGCAGGGCGCGCGCGCCAGCACGCGCCATTAGAACTCGACTGCACCGCCAGCGGAAACACACGCATGCACGACGACGATTGCGGCAGCTCGGCGACGACGACGACGCGAAAGAAAAAGGGTGGACCAAGAGAAGCGAGAGTGGGAGAGCTTCACTGTGAGAGCACGGGGGGGAAGCGGGGTGAGGGAATGAAGGAATGGACGTTGGGTGGGCGAGGGGCGAGTTCGAAGAGCCCGAGGATGACGGGGGGGGGCGAGGAGAAGGATGAAAATTATGAGCAGGGGGAAGGCCAGGAGGATAAGCAGGAAAGGGAAGGGGCAAGGGTGATACGTGGGATGGGCGGGGTCAGGGGAGGCGAGGAAGGACGGGAGGCATAGGGGGCAAGTGGGATAGGGGAGGTTAGGGGGGAGATCGATATGGGAGATAAGAGGGCACGCAACTTGGACCTCCTCCTCCTCCTCATCCTTAGCATCGTCCACCCCCGCCCCCTCAAGTTCATCATCATCGTCATCGCCCGCGCCCCTATGCACCCCTCGTCGTCATCTTCATCATCGTCGTCGTCACCATCACCGCCCCACCCGCCTCGTCCACATCGCCACTCCCACCTCGTCATCCCCCCCTCCCATCGTGACTCATACTCGCTCCCATCATCATCGTGCTGAGTGTTTTTTTTTGCCAGGAGCTCCAAATGATGACGCGTCTGGCTGGGCGTCGGGCTGGACGTCGGGCTGGGTGTCGGCCTGGGCATCTAGTCCGACTCGCTCTGGCAGCTCGCGGAGTCCCTGCCGCTGTTGCGCACGATGCGCGTGACCTCCCGCCGCCCATCGCAGATCGCCCCCTCGAACTCGTAGTACTGCCCGTCGCACGCAGCAGGCGAGACGTTAATCTCGCCCTCCACCGTCGACACGCGGCGCTCGAGCGCGTCGATGCGGCGAAGTGCCTCGCTTTCCCCTCCCCCATCACCGACCCCCGACCCCTCCCCCTCCACCTCGGGAGGAGTAAGGGGAGGGCGTTGAGGGAGGACGAGGAGGAAGATGAGGAGGACCTCAAGGAGGAGAGGGGAGGAGGAATGGCTTCAAAGATGGGGACGTGGGGGGAGGAAGAGGAAGAGGAATGAACGTGAGGAGGCATCTCCCTCCACCCCCCATCCTCCCCCTCCTTATCCTTAGGGTCGGCCCTCCTCCCCCATCCACCCCCATCCCGCATCCTCGACGCCATTTCCTCCTGGGGGCCCCCCGCCCATATCCCACCGCCCCGCCTCGCGGAGCTGGCGCTCCAGCGACGCGATCTTGGCGTGCGCCGACGCGATCCTGACTGCATGGCTCGCCGAGGGCGACCGCGACCGCCCCCTCCGCGCCGCCTCGGGCCCTGCGCGGTCCGCCTGCGGGCCCTGCGACGACATGGAGCTTCGCGAAACGCCGCGAAGAGGGCACGATCGGTCGCGCGGCCGCACTGGGCCGTCGGGCGACACAGAGATGCGAAGATCGCAACTCGAACCGAAAAGGCTACGGATGTCGAGCCCAGTCGGCCCTCCTCGGCCAGGAGACAAGGGCCCCTAACGTCGCGCCACGCGCTTCGCGAAGCGCGAATAACTGCGCGCTCTCGCACCGCCCTCCAAAGGGGAGAAGAGGAGGACGAAGAGGGGGAGAGGGGAGTGAGGAGCGCGAAGCGCGACGCGCGAGTAACTTCGCGCCCTCGCGGGAGCCCTCGGGAGAGCACCTGGCCGATACCGACGTCCTAGATCCTACCCATCCCCCGCCAGTAGCCTACGTCGGCACGTGCACTCCCCACGATGGCCATCCCTCGTCGAGCGAGGTCATCCGCCCGAGCGCACCCCTCGTCGACCTAGCCCATCCCTCATCAAGATCATCCCTCATAATCCTCCGTCGGGGTGGGAGGCGGCGCTGGCCTGTCGGGAAGTCGTCGTCCACCACCTTGTCCTTCTGCGTGATGTTGTTGAAGATGTGGTGCTCCCTGAAGATCGTCGCGGCCCGGTCGCCCTCCATCGCGTCCTGAGGCGATTGGGGCGCGGGTCATCGTAGTCGTGTTGGTCGTGATCGTCGTCGTCGTCGCCGCCGTCGTCGTCGTCGTGGCGATCGTCGTCGTCGCCGTCGTGGTCGCTGCACGTCGTCGCGGTCACCGCCGTCGCCGTGGACGTCGTCGCCGTTGTCTTCGCCGCCGTCGTCGCGGACGTCATCGTCGTCGCCGTCGACTTCGACGTCGCCGCACGCGCCGTCCTTGCAGTCGCCGCCGTCGCCCGCGCCCCTCGCCGTCGCCAGGGCCATCGCCGTCGTCTCCAGCCGCCCCTCCCTCGCACTGTGGCGCCAGTGTAGGCGGAAGGGGGGGGGAGTGCGGGGCGGCGCGGAGAGGCTCGCGCCGACGAAAGACGATGAGGAGCGGAGGGGGGATGGATCGGGGGATGCATGGAGGGTGGAAGCACCCCTCGCCGCAGCGACGACGACGGCGACGACCGCGACGATGGCGAGCAAGGCGCACGATCCTGCTCAGCAGGTGGCTGCTGCTGGACCTCCTCCACCCTGTGCACGAACACGCAGTGCGGACTGCGGAAGCTGACGCCATCTTCGCTGACGCAGTCATTGAAGAAGCCACGGCCCTTGTCAATCAGCGCGCGGCCCTTGATCAAACCGATGAGCCACCGGGCGCACACGTCCTTTTTGCGCATCTCAGCCGTGATCGGCGCAGCTGGATGCAAACCTGGCTCAGGAGCAGATGGGGAATGCGATGGGGGAGGGGCTGAAGGAGAGGGCGAGGGGGAACAAAGGAATAGAGGGGGGAGGAGGGAGAAAGAGATGGCGAGGGGGGGCCAGAGGGAGAGGGCGAGGGAAGAAGGTGGAGATCACGGGTGAATCGTAGAGGGGCGGCGGGGGCGGAGGGGAGGGCGAGCCGATTTCGGGAGGGGAGGGGCTCCGAAAGACGGTTCGGCGAGCTCGAACATACCTACGGCCACGGGACCCGCAAGATACTGCACGACGTGCCGCATGGGAAGGGGCCCCGAGCTGCACGCGTGCTGAATCTTGATAGCTGGAATCTCATGGGCCGTGCACTTCCGAAAAACTCCGAACATCCAACTCGGGGGAATATCTGAAACTTGTTTCACTGCACTCGGAAACTCTGGATCCTCATTCATGCTCTTCACCGCCGCCTCCACCTGCTTTGACTTCTTCCTGCTGCTCGGGCGCGGCGCGATGTCCTCGAGCTTGCGCTTCGTCACCACGGCCACCGTGTCGATCTTGTCGGGGGCCTCTCGGGTGGGGGGAGGGCGTCGTCGTCGTGGTCGTCGTTATCGTCGGGTTGACGTCATCGTCGCCGTCGTCGTCGCCGCCGTCGTCGTGCGGGCGTCGTCGTCGTCGTCGTCGTCGCCGTCGTCGCCGTCGTCGTCGTCGTCGTCGAGCGGACCTCGTCGTCGTCGTCGTCGTCGTCGTCGTATTCGTCGTCGTCGACGTCGCCACCGCCGCCGCCGTCGTCCTCCACCCCCTCCCGCCTCCATCATCAGGCCCCCTCCCCCCGCGCGCGCGGCGGGCCGCGAACAAGTCCAGGCAGATGCCGTGGACCTTCTGCACGGCCTTGAGCTTCACCTCCTCCTCCACCGTGTCGAACGTCACTTCCTGGCGCGGACGACGACGACGACGACGACGACGCGAATGGGGGGGAGGCGCGCGCTCCTGCTTCAGCAGGAGCCTCGCGAGCACGCGGTGCTCGAAGGGGACCTTGGCGACCCCCTTGGGCGGCATGGCTGCTCGCCCTTGCAGCGCCTCCCCCTGGCGCCCGCGACGCGGCCCTGAACCCAAAGGGCTCGCAGGCGGAGCGAGGGCGGCACAGCGGGGCAACGACGACGACGTGGGAAAGGCGGATACGACGACGACGGACGCGACGACGACGGCGGCGGCGACCGCGACGACGACGACGACGACGACGACGACGATTACGACGAGGACGACGACGACGGAGACGGCGACGACCACGACCACGACGACGACGACGACGACCACGACCACGACCACGACGACGACCGCGACGACGACGACGACGATCGACGACGACGACGACCACGACGACGACCACGACGACGACGAACACGACCACGACGACGACCACGACGACGACCGACCGACCGACCGACCGACCGACCGACCGAGGACGACGACGACGACGACGCACGACGAAGCCCGCTCCCAGCACCTCCATGTCCTGCCCCCCCCTCCCCCGATATCTATTCCGCCCCTATTGGTCCTCCCCCCTCACTCCTCGTCCTTTTTTTCATGCAACAGGAAAGAGCGGGAAGCGCCCATGGCCCCACCATGGGTCTCCGCCCAGGGGCCACTACGCCCCAGGCCCCCCTAGACCCCCCCCAAGGCTTGTATGGGGTCGAGGGTGTCTTGTCGGACAATGACTCCTGGGGGCTCTATGGGTGCCCTTTGGGAGCGTGTTCGGGCCCTCTTGGGCATATTTGAAGGTCGAGCGTTCTTGGGCCGTCTCGGGGCCCTCTTGGCGCGTCTCAAAGGCCTCTTGGGCCTCTCGCTGCCGCCTTGGCCCGCAAAGCGGGGAACACGGAAACGCACAGGGGAGACACCTCCGTGGAGTCCTGCTGGCCCCAGGATCTCCCATATATGCATATGCACGCACTGGCACGCGAGTGACAGTCTCGAACAGACTGCAGGGAATCAAATGGCGCCACCTTTTGTTACATTACGAGAAATTCACAATCCCAATGGGCAAAGGAAGTCAGGACACTAAGCATAAAGATGAATGAAGACATCTGAAATGCAACAACAGAAACATAGAAGGCCAACTGCAATCGGCATGAAAAATGTTGAATGACCAACTATCTGTGACCAGGCACGGTCACGGCTCATTCCTGTCATGCATGGGAGGAGGAGACGGAGCTTCCGTTCGGCCCGTCCGACTGCAATACCAGCCCAGAGACTTCAATGCGCCCTGATAACTGCTTGCGCTTCCACTGGAGCAGGCCCAAAAACGTGATGCAACCTATTGAGATAGCCAGTATCAGCCACGCGGCCGTCGCCGCACTCGTGTATGTGATCACCCCAGTGTATACGACAAACCAGCAAAATGTGGCGGACGCATTGACCGCCACGTAAAGGGACATCACAATGAGCAAGCACGGCAAATCTCCGATCATGAGTGGGATTCGGTTTAGCATAACCTCCGCAATCATGATGGCCGGCGCCAAAACATGCTGATGCACGTTCGCATCGAGATCGGCTAATCCGCCTCCCTGCCGCCGGGCACCGCGTGAAGCTGCCTCTGGCCAATCAATCCTCAACGCTGTGTTCTGCATACGGTCTGAAAAGGTCCCGCACCCCCAAACCACGGGTTTCCCCAGGCGCTTCCAGGGTTCGCGGCGAGACACTTCCAACGGCCTCGGGGGGCATCTTCGGCCTCGAGAGCCCCAAAGAGAGCCCCAAGAGGCCCTCGAGACTCCACCAAGAGGAGCCCCAAAGGGGGAACTCGAACTGACATGTGCACCTCAAGATGAGCCCCGAGTCCGTCAGCAGGCCCCCAGGAAGTGCCTGAGGAGACGCGAGAGTGCCGAAATGCCCAGCAGGAGGCCCCAGTGAGAACCATAAGAGGCCCCCGAGGCCCCCAAGATGTCCGCAAGACCATCTAATGACCCTGCAGAGGCCTCTGAGAGACATCGCGCCCACGGCCCGGGCACGCTGGCGGCATGGGCCGAAGGCATCCAGATCCGCCGCCCCTTTTGGCTTGCCACAGGGGTGTCTGGCGTGCTAAAACCTATAGCTCTTGGTTTTGAATATTTGTCCAACAGAACTCTCCTCTGGGGCTTCGGCCCTTCGCCGGAGTGCCCCCTATGTCTGTTGTTTCGCTTACGATTGCTCAAGACGGCCTCCAAGATGGCCAAGATGGTCAAATATTGTCTCCAAAATGCCTCCAAGACGGCCTCAAGATGGTCCAAGATGGGATCCTAGACGGCCCAAGAGGGTCCAAGATGGCCCCAAGTCTGCCCAAGAAGCCTCCAAGACGGCCCAATCGGCCCCCAAGAGGCCTCCAAGACGGCCCCAGAGGCCTCCAAGAGGACCTTCAGGAAGGCCCGAAGAGGCCAAAAGCGATGATGCTCCGTAGGTTTTTGAAGGATTGTGGCATTTGCTTCTTTTTCAGCCTTCCGCTGGCCCGACACGGCCTAAGAGCTCCCAAAGATCGCCACAAGATCGCCCAAGAGGCCTCCAAGACGGCCCCAAAACGGCCCAAGAGGCCCCCAAGACCGCACCAGGAGAGCCCCAAGACGGCCCAAGAGACCTCCAAGACGCGCAAGATAGCCTCCAAGACTGCCCTGGAGTATCCCAAAAGGGCCCCCAGTCGGCCCAGAGAGGCCCCCAAGACAGCTTCCGACGGCATCATGACAGACCAGGAGCCCACCAAGCCGGGCCAAGATGGCTCTAAGATGGCCCAAGACGGCCACAGACGGCCACAGAAGCCTCCAAGTGGGCATCCAGAAGGCCCGAAGAGGCCAAACATCAGTGTTTCGCTTTGGTGGTCGAAGGATTTTGGCAACTGCTTCTCTTCGGCCTTCCGACGGCCCGACACGGCCTAAGGGCCCAGAAAGATCGCCCAAGAGGCCTCCAAGATGGCCCCAGAACGGCCCAAGAGGCCCCAAAGACTGCACCAGGAGAGCCCCAAGACGGCCCAAGAGGCCTCCAAGACGCCCAAGATGGCCTCCAAGACTGCCCTGGAGCACCCCAAGAGGCCCCCAGTCGGCCCAGAGAGGCCCCCAAGACAGCTTCCGACGGCGTCAGGCGGACCATGAATCAACCAAGACGGCCCAAGATGGCTCTAAGTGTGATTCAAGCTCACTCTCGAGGGTTTGCAAGAGGGGCCGATCAGGCAGATAGAGGCCCCGCAAAGGCCGAGATCCCCGCTTCCCTCCTGCCCTTGCTCGTGCTGCTCTCACCCCTATTTCCCGCTACTCTCTCGGTTCAATTTTATTATGCAAGGCCCTTGGACTGAGAGCTGCGCCTTGCTTCACCGCGTGAGAGAGTAACAGATATCTTGGCGCCGAGCGCCCCATCTATATCACACTAAGATGGCCCAAGACGGCCCAAGAAGCCCGCAGGTCTCCAAGACGGCTCAAGAAGCCTCCAAAAGGGCCTCCAGGAAGGCCCGGAGATGCCAAAACCATTGATTTATCTTAGGTGGTTGAAGGATTTTGGCATCACATTTGCTTCTTTTCGGCCTTCCGACGGTCCGAGACGCGCCAAGAGCCCAGACAAATCTCCCAAGAGGCCTCCAGGATGGCCCCCAGACGGCCCAAGAGGCCCTCAAGGCGGCCCCAAGAGGGCCCCCAGACGGCCCAAGAGGCCTCCGAGACGCCCAAGATGGCCTCCAGGACTGCCCTGGAGCACCCCAAGAGGGCCCCCAGTCGGCCCAGAGAGGCCCCTGAGACGGTTTCCGACGGCGTCAGACGGGCATGAATGCCCTAAGACGGCCAAAGAGGCCGCCGAGCAGCCCCCAAAGGCACCCAAGAGGCCCAAGGAGGCCCTCAAGATGCCCCCCAGAGGCTCCCACAAAGCTCCCAGGAGCCCCCCAGAGGCTCCCAAGATGCCCCCTCCCCGTCCTCCTCCTCCTCCTCCTCCTCCTCCTCCTCCTCCTCCTCCTCCTGCTCCTCCTCCTCCCCCCCCTCATTCTGATCGTCCCCGCCATCCTCCCCCCAACCGTTGTGCACAACGGTTGGGTTCCGCATGGTCCGATAGCGTGGCAGAGCTCTTGCCACAATGCTAGGCCACATGGGTGATTTCAAATAGCAGAGGGCGGCGGTGATTCGCCGCAGGCGTCTTCGATAACCACATTGCAAACACGGTCACCTCAAAGCAGACTGCGAGTGCTTGCAGGCGCGCCAAAGCCCGCCTGCAAGGCACAGCCAGAGTAATCCCACACCGAGACGAATCGTGCAACTGGCTGCCCGATGGCCCCGAGCCCCGCGATACCAGCCAGGCCGCCAAGAAGTAGGCGGCCGAATGCTGGAAGCGGCGGGGGTGCCTACGAGGCCAAATCCTGCAAAGATCGGTCCTCGGGCCCCCTCCCCCCCTGCGGTCGAAACCGACGAGTGCTTCGAGCCGCGCGCAGCCGTGGCGCCGAGAGGGGGCCCCACTCCCGCTCCTCTGCTGGCCAGAACCACCTCGGCCCCCCAGCCGGTTCCAAGCCGACAGCATGACGCCCCACTGCGTCAGGTAGCAGAACTGCTCCGCCACGCCCTCCACGACGCCCCTGCGGGCCACGCGCCGCGCGGTGGCGCCCACCGACAGCATCGCCAGAGCGGCGCCGGCCAGGGCACGCAGGGTGGCTGTCCTCTGGGGGGAGCAGACGTGCAGATCCGCTGCTCCCCGGACCTCTCCCGGGGTGCGTGCCGGGGCGCGTGCCAGAGCTTCGAGGCGAGACCAGCCATGGCGACGAGGGCCTCCCGGGAGGTCCACTGAGGCGGGAACGAAGAAGGGGTAGCAGCATAAGCAGAAACTTTCGGAGATCCGCGCGCACTTTTTTGGGGGATCGGCGCTGGAACCCGACTCCCCCGCGCTCGGAGCGCGCCAGGGGCGGCGCTGGCGACGCCGCCAGGGGGGTCCAGCGCAGATGCAGGAAATCCGCGCGGACCTGCGAACATATTGCTTACGCAGATCGTTGTTCTTTCTCGAGAGAGTCCTGCCCCTCGACACGGCGCGGCCGCGCCACGTGTAGCACACGAAGCAAGTGTCGGGGAGCCCAGCAGAGGCAGAGGCCTCCCAGATGGGATCTGAGTCGATCGGGTCGAGGGATCGCGCCGCATCGTGGATGCATCGGCGAAGCATCTGTGACTCGGCGATGCAGCGGCGCCGTCGGCGCGGAGAAAATCGGGCTCCACATCGGCGATACGGCGCGATCCACCGACGGCAAGTTTCGTGTCGCGACGACACTGGGGGCTGGATTCTGACACCGCGTGGTTCGTTCAACCTTGAAACATCGGCGGCTTGTCGACTGCTGGGTCGTTCCGCCTGCGTCGTTCAGGCCTGAACGCCCGCGATGGGGCTGTCGCCGCGTCGATACGACACGAGCCTACCGCACATACTGAACATTGTGGTGGAGGTGTCGTGCCCGATCAAGAGGAGCACGCACCCGACTGAGAATAGAAAACGATTAGTCTGCCCGAGCAGCGGCGGCCAGCGGCTCGACGCCGAGGGCACGCATCTGGGCATATCTGGCCTGGCGCCGTGCCAGGGCTGCTGGCTGCTCCGCCGCGGGCAGCAGGAGGATGCAGCTCTCAGTAGTCATGGCCGGGAACGCACCGCGGCCGTCCATAGGCATGAACTCTTTGCACCGACTGCACTGCAGCAGCTCCTTGCCCTGATGGAGCTGGAGGCCGAGGTGGTGTCTCTGTTCGGCCTCCGCCTGCTGATTGTGCGTCTCGATGCGGTCCTCCCGCTTGGCCCGCTGGATCTGGGCCTGGCGGTTGGTCTGAGGCGCCTCCCGGCCGAGACAGCGCTCCCTCAGGAAAGAGGCGAACGAGTCGGCGACGGCCGTCCGGTCGCAGTGCTCGCAGCGGAGGCACTGGCCCTGCCGGCCACCGAGAGGCAGGACAACGTGGCGCTGCTCAGCCACCGCAGTCCTGTTGTGCAGGAGGCGTTTCATCTCCCGCTCCTTTTGTCGGCGGATCGCCTGCCCGAAGCGATCGCCCTGCGCCGACACAGCTGCAACTGCAACTGCAATCGCCTGCTGCTCTTCAGGTGTCCACGCAACCTGGAGCAGCTCAGCGAACGTGGCTCCCTGGCTGGGGCCACGGCGCCGTGGCATGGCAGGCGCAGAGCCTCGCGCCTCGCCCTGCAGTGGCTGGGCAGCCGGCCCGTCGGATCCTGGAGGGGACCACAGGGGGTACGGGAGACTGCCGACGGTGACCTGTGGCATCTGCTTGGGCTGGGTGCGGCTGCTGCCGTTCAGCCGAGCAATATGCAGCATAGCCGTAGCCACATGCTGTGGGCATAGCAATCGGGGGCGGACTGGGACTCCGTGGAGGTCTGGGAGCTCCAGACGCCGCGCCGCCAGCACCCTCCGCGACGGGGCATTCCAGCCGCCTGGCTTGAGGCGTGCAAGAAGGCGCGTTGAGCGGCAGATCTGCGCCAGGCGGCGGGAGGCAGACGCAAAGTATTCCTGCAACCGGTGCGCCTTCGGGACTCCTGCTGCATTCGCCTCCTGCGGGACCACATGTGTCGCGTACATGTAGTCCAGGGCCAGCTCTAGGAAGGTGGCTCCGACGTCACCGGGCTGCGGTGACACAGGAAACTGCAGCGTGGACCAGTACCAGTGCAGAGAAAGAAGCATGGCATCAGGGTATCGCCAATGTGTGCATATGCCGATACCTGATTTCAGAGCAGTCCTGTTGAGCAGCGGTGGGAGCGCCTCGGTCAGGTCTGGGCGCGTGTTCCCCACAATGGGAATCGGTTCCCACGGATACTCCGGGAAGTGGCGTTGCTCCACCAGGGCGGCGTCGAGGCCAGCACCAGCCCCAGCTCCAGCCCCAGCGTCGAGGCCGGCCTCAGCACCAGCCCGCGCCTCAGGAGCCCCAGCACCAGGTGGGGGTCGCTCTTCCCCCGCTCCTGGTTGCTGGTCGGCCGGCAGCTGGCCCCCTGCCTGGGCCTGCTGCCACGACTGCATCTGCTGGTGGGGCGTGCGGCCGGCCTCCTCCAGCAGCAGCCCGCGGGCCTCCAGAATGGCCACAGCACGCCGCTGAACGGCACGCGTCACGGTGGCACGGACAGCCACCCTGCGGACCAGGTCGTCGCAGGGCGCGTGCTGGTCCGAGCCCGCGACGGCACGCCTGTCGGCCCCAGCATTCATGAGGGCTTCCAGCATGCGCTGCCGCTCATCATCCGTAGGGTTGTCTGGGTCCTCCGCCTCCCAATTCTGGTCGTGACCTCGCACTTTGCGTACACGGAAATGGTCGGAACCCCCTTTGGCATGATAAGCGGTGGCAATGTTGGCCCAGAGATCACAATGCTCTGGGGAGGGCCGGAGTCCGGCCAGCAGGCGCTCGAATCCCAAGAATACGAGATCACTGTCCGTCCAATACTCTGTGGGCCGCCAGCTGTGCGCCAGCACACGAGCACATGCCGCGACCTCGGCTCTCTGGGCGGTCTGCTCACAGCCACACAAGGGGAGGCCGAAGTTGGCGCTGTGGTTGTGGCCGTAGAATGCTCCAAACCCTGCTCGCCGAGCAAGGGGAAGATGCTGATGATGACACGCGCCGTCCCCAGCTGCGATGAGGAAGCCATCCGCAGTGAAGATCTCTACGGCGTCGTCGGTCTCCAGGCGCGGCGGCGGCTCGCCGTGGCCCTGCACGGGCGGCAGTGCAAGCCGCGCTGCTTCATCGCGCGGATCTTCCACTGCCAAGCCGCACAGCCGCGTGCAGGTGGGCAGCGAGGGGCCCAGCTCGCGGAGGTCTGGGGTGGTCCACTCCTCCCTGGCGGCCACAATGGCGGGGTGGCTGCAGCGCTCGAGGATGTGGTCTGTGGTCTCCACCTCCTCTCCGCAGAGCTGACACACCCTGGTCAGGCTAGCGGGCGCGGGCGGATCGCCTCCGGCTCCCGCAGGCCCGGGGGCGGCAGCGGCAGCACCGCGGGTTCGTCTCCTGAGGGTCTCCTCGGTGATGGCGCCGAGGCGGTCCTGCGTGTTCACCGCCCCCGCAAGATACGTCCGCAGAATGCCCCGCTGCAGCTTCGTAAGCTTCGTGGGCGCCCGCAGGAGTGCAGCAGAGGCGTCGACGTCGACCACGGCAGCCCCGTGCTGGAGCTCAGGCATGTCTGGGCGGAGCTTCTGTCTGGACCACGCGGCCCGGCGGAGGCCCACTCGGAGAGCATGGAAAAAAAAAAGACTCCCCAACTTCCAACCAGCGGATCGGCTCGCCACTGTGGGTGATCAGGATGTCTACGTTGAACAGATTCCATTCGATATCCTCGAAGTATTGCAAGAGTCCCGCTGTGGGCCCCTGGAAGGACCCTGAGCCGCCTGCCACCAGGAGGGAACGAACAGCCGTAAATTGTCGCAGGCCCGCGGCGGAGCTGCGAAGATAGCGGAGCCAAGTCCGTCTGGTGTTGTAGCGCAAGCACTGCCAGGGGTCCAACATGTGCCCTCTGGTGAGTACCGTAAAGAATACGGCTCGGGAGCGTGCATACCGGCCGTCCCCCCACGCAGCGTCCAGGACGGCCGTGCCAAGAGCCGTCAGCTGCTTCTCCGAGGGCGTCGAGTACTCCATCCCGTAGAGCTTGGACAGCGCACCGGTGCTGATGAGCTGGCACTTCGTCCCAAAATCTACCGGCAGCGTCGCTACGCGGCGCACCGAGTTGAAGGCAGACGTGTAGCGATCAGCCGCGCATATGCTCATGTCGTCCTCGGGGCCCGGGGAGATGGGCAGGTACGCGCCGAGAAGGTGCAGAACCGCAGTGATGCGCAAGGGCGTGCCATTGATCGTAATCTGCCCCAGCTCACCTGTCAACTCTGCCGAGGTGCCGAAAGCGACTGTCTTGTCCATGTTGGTCTGCTGGCCGCTCAGCTCGTCGAACAGCAGGGACCGGGAGACGCCCTCCCGAATGAGACTGGCGGACGTGGCTGCGAGGTGGGAGTCGTCGAAAAATCCCCCTGTAGAGAGCCCGCCAGCCTCAACCAGCCGCGTCCAGACTGCCATGTGCGCCGTGGTCACAAGGATGGCAAAGGAGTCGCCCTGGCCGAAGCCGTTGGAGAGCTGGTAGAAGTCGCTGATGGCGCCGCCGATGCCGAAGAACAGCTTCTGGACGTGAAGCTGCCGCTGCGCCGCCTTCAGGAGAGGAGTGGGGATCCCCATGTACTCCAAGAGCTGAAAAGAAATGTGCCAAACCCATCTGTCAAAACATTTCCGACGATCAAGAGAGACACCTCCAAACGCCGTGCCCTGGATGTCGTGATACTCCGCAGCAGCAGCCGTCGGAAGGAGAACATCATGGGTAGTGGCACCCTTCCGAGCTCCGTGCATGCTGGCTGGCATGATGGCCTCTCTCCAGGTGTTCGTGTCATCGAATCGGATGCCTGTGCACAGACAATAAAAGACAGAGAAAATGCGAATAGGGCGAAGTTTGTCCGGGGCCCCGCCCTCTCCTTTGTCTAGAAATGTCCCTCGCACATAATCGATAACAGAAGGCCATGGGAGATCATGCTGTTCTAAGGCATTGAAAAAATCCGCCCACGGCCGGAGGAGCAGGCGAGGCAGGCACTTCAGCTCGCGCGCCCTCCATCCATCCACGCCTGCGGCCCTCTGCCCATCCATGGAGGCAATCTTTCGACGCAGCATGTGCTCGTCGAACTCCGGGAATGTGCATGTGGCCGTAGGGATGTGGTCCCGGAGCTGGTGCAAGTAGTTCTCCCAAGAGGGAGCTGCAGGCAGAACGTGGTCAGGACCGCCCGCTGCAGGCCCAGCCTGCCAGATGTTGAAAATGGCGTGCCAGGTCTCCTTGCACATCTTGTGCATCTCAAGGGGGTCCACGGTCAGGGAGCCGTCGGGGCGCCGCAGGTGGCGGGCAACCTTCTCCTGGACCCCCCCAGCCTGCTTGATGTGGCGGAAGAGTGGGGCGGAGGCGCGGCCGCTGGTGGCAGCGTGCATTTTGTCAGCCCAGCGCCGACACCGAAGCTGCCGGCGCGCATGTGCCAAGTCAAGGATGTACCGATCTGTGGTCTCCTCTGCTGCCAAAATGCCTGTGCAGGTCCCCAGGTCGACGTTGGCCAGGTGGAGGCGCGTTGTGCCCTCATCATCTGGTCCCGCCGGCGGGCCCTCCAAGCGGCGAAGGAGGATCCGCGTGTTGCCGAGCAGGTTGTAGTACTCGACCCAGAACGGCGAGGACACGGACTGCTTGGCGGTGTTGGTGGTCGGGACCGCCGCGTCGCCAAGGCGCCGGAGGTCCAACTTGTCTAAATTGATCCTCCTCTGCTTGGCGCGGAGCTGTCGCAAGCACCGCAAAAGTTTCTCTGCCTGCAGCATGGGTTGCGTAGCAGCGCCCAGCTCAGGCCGTTTATGAAGATATGGTGCAACAGTGCGCTGCTTCTGAAAGCGTGGGGCTCGGCAGCGACGCGCACCGTCATCAGGAGGAACAACGCCCGTGACGTCTCCCACGCGTAGTCGGAGGTAGAGCTGGGCCGCGTCACTCCAGAGCGTCATGGCCTTGTTGACCAGCGCTTGGGCCTCCTCGGCAGGTGCCGAAGCAGCCGCCCCGAGGGCTGCATAGAACTGCGGTTCGACGTCAGCCCAGACAGCCGCAGCAGTCTCCTTCGGGTCCTCGGAGTCGATGTCGTCTCGGGCAAGAGCGCTGACCCCGAGCGGTGCAGGGGCGAGGACGATCCAGCGCTCCCTGGCCAGGGAACCGAAGTCGAAGGACGCTGCGAGGGCACAGTGAAGCGGAACAGCAAAATCTGCCCGGCGGAATCGCCGGAGGGCCGCATGTGCAGCCGCATTCACAATGATGAGGTCGATTCGCGAGCCACCGACTCCTGCATGACGATCCGCCTCTGAACGATAATACGTAGGGCTCACGTCCCCCATGGAGGCGCCGCAGTCGTACCACCTGTCAGTGCTGAGGGCGGCGGCCAAGACGGGGCTGGCGTCAGCATCGGTGTTGAAATCACCTGTAATAATCACTGGCCGGCCTCCTTGGGCCTCCCCCCACGCGAAAACCGCACGCAGGTGCCGCTCGTTGGCGGTGAAGTCGAGCCCCGTCCGGTAGGGGCGGACGCCGCTGATGCCGTAGAAGGTGGCGATGTGGGCAACACCGGGGAGGCAAACGGCTTTCCACCGGGCGGACTCGGTGAGGGCTCGCTCACCAGCGGAATCGGGCGCGTGTGGCACCACAGCCAACGATGATCTGGTGAGCAGGGCGACGCCAGAGTTGGTCACGTTGCGGCTCGTACGAGTCTCGCGGTGCCGGCCGCCGGGAAGTCGCCCCGAGGGCAGGCCGGCCGTGGCACAACGCTGAGCGCTATGGCGGCTCGGAGCGCCGAAATAGACACAGATGTCCGAGTCGGAGGCCTTCAGGTCGCTAGCGAAGTCAACCTGCGCCTTGCTGCCCAGCTTGGTCTCCTGGACAGCTGTGATGTGGGCCTGCTTTGCCCATGCGGCGAGCACGGGGGCACGCCCCGAGGCAAACGTCACATTAGCAGTCTGAATGGTGAACAGTGGATGTGCCGCAGCGTCGACACCAGCAAACCATTGCAAGAAGAAGAAAATGTATGTACAGGAGCGGCCTCTGGTACCCCTGGTAGGCCCCGGGCACAAGAACGTCGCTGCATGCCCGGACCCGTCGTAGGGGCCCCGTCAATACGGCCCATCACGGGGCGCTGCTGCCTTTGGTGGCCCCTTTGGAAGTGCCGCCGCTGGTGGCGATGATGGTGCAGGCGCCCCGCACGGCGATGATGGTGCAGGCGCCCCGCCCTGCTGCTGGTTCTGCGCGAGCATGGCGCGCAGCCCGTCCATCAACGTCTTGCTGTTGCTGGCCAGGGAGTCGGACAGAGCTGCAGGTGTGACCATGTTAGCCTGCAGGGCGGCGAGGTCCGACTGGCACTGGGTGGCCGCAGCCGTGGCAGCGGTGGCAGCTGCCGCGGCTGCGTCGGCGGAGGCCTGGGCGGCCGCGCTGGCGGCGCGCACCTGCTTGGCAACCTCCTCCGTCACGAGGCCGCGGAGCATCTCCATGGCCGCGGGGTTGACCTGCATGGCAGCGGCCGCCACGCGCTGGGAGGCCGGAGAAGCAGCCTTGGCGAGTGCGGCTTCTGCAGGTGCTGCAGTGCCTGCGGCCTCAGCTTCCGGTAGTTCGGCTGCACCTCCGCCCATGAGGTCATCCGCAGGCGGCTCGGCCGACTTGGGGTCGGCGCTGCCGCGACTCTGGCCCTTGGAGGGCTTGATCACCTCCGCGATGGTGCACAAGTGGGTGCCGAGCCGGACGTGTGGCTTCGGCGGCGGCGCAGCCGCACGGACCACACAGCAGAATTGCAGCTGGCTGGAGGGCCCACGGCCGACGCGAGTCTCGAACATGCGGTCGAAGGTGACCTCCCACCCGAAGGGCTGCTTGGCGAGGGCCGTCTGCAACGCCTCGCCGTCCAACTCCAGCGGGACGCCCCGTACAGTGTACGACTTCTGGCGGCCAGGGGCCGTGAGCGACCCCACGATCCGCAGAGAGGCAGCTTCATGATGTTCAGCTGCCACTCGGACGCCAAGGCGCTGGGGAGCAGGCGCGAGTCCGCGCTGCCCGTCAAGAGTATCCATCACAGCCAGTGCTGCGGGAAGGTCGGTGCCGCTCTTGAACCACACGATCGGCGCCGCCTTGTCCTCGGCGGCCTGGGCAGTGGCGTCGCCGAGGTGGGCGATCCAACAAAATTTGCCATCCTTGCCACTGCCGGCCCGGAGGGTCTTGGAGGTCTCTTCCGTCACCACAGCGAGCACGCTGACGGAGCGTTTGCCTCCCGACTTCTCGAAGAGCTTGGGAGACCAAGCCCTGTAGACGATAGCATTCGAGTCGACCTGCTGGACCCACGCCTCCACGAAGGTGCGGTGCCGGTCCCTGGAGTCGTCGATCTGCTCCTCCTTCGCCTTCCCCTTTGCCTTGGGGCCCAGCGCCTTGAGGGCAGCAGACCAAATATCAGCAGGCGCGTGCTGCTCCCAGACAGCAAGACAGACGACGTGCTTGGCCGTTCGCACAGCGTCCTCAATGTCGATAGCGGCATGGTCCTGCTGCAGGATCTCGATGGTGGGGCCGGCCACCCCCGACAGCTGCCAGACGCAGGCTGACATCGGGGCCTCGGTGTCGGTGCCCTTGAGCTTAACAATGATAGTCACCTCCTTGCACGGGTGGCTGGTCTGGAAGAGCTGGCCGTCGGCCAGGGCCTCGAGCTCCTTCTTCGCACCAGGGACAACGATGGCCAAGGCTGTCGCACTCGGCTCAGTCTTGAAGTCCCCCATTAGCCACCATGCCTGGTCCGGTGTGCAAAAATGTACGCCCTGCGAACCACGCGTAGGGCGAGAAGTAAGTATAGGGCCTGGCCACTGGGTCGCCACCAGCGTGCCCGGCACTTCCTGCTTGTCGGCGTCCTTGGATGCCGTGGCCTTGCCCTGCGGCTTGGCAGCTGCTTTCGCCTTAGCTGCGGCCGGAGGTCTGGGTTGCTGCTCGGCTGACCCGCTGGCTGTAGCGGCAGCTTTTTGCCCAGGAATAGATATCCCTCCTTCGAGGGTCAAGGCCAAGAACTTTTTGTGCACCTCGCCGGCCTTCATGGTCTTCAGCGCCCGGATGCGGGTCCGAAAACCCTGAGCAGACCACAGCTTGTCCAATGACTTTGCGGCGAGCTTCGAAGTTAATCTGGCGTCAGTCTTCTGGAGGAGTCTCTGGATCTCCTCTCGGACATCTGAGGGCACAGAAGAAGCAGAATTTCCAATCAAACTGTGAATATACTTGTTCCACTTCCGTGCTGACGTCATCCAGTGACGTCCTATAGTGGGTCGATAGTGAGGAACTGCACAATCATTAGCCAGATAATTCCAGGGGAAGATCTGGAGCCTGGGGACTGCGGCCGGAAAGCCCAACGGAGGGCAGGCCTCGTCAAAGTAGATCGTGCCGAAGGTGCCGCCCTGCACCTTCCCCCAAGACACGAGCCTACCGCACTCGGACCCCATCTGGGAGGCCCAGCAGTGGCCTCACGCTGCATCCTCGGGGGACCTTTTGTCTGTCCCCTCTCGGCCCTGCCTGCGTTGAATCTGCGTCGAATCCAGGCCGGACTCGCCGGATCCGTGCCGAATCCGCGCCGCATCCACGCCGAGCGCGCGTCGAGCCCGCGTCGACGCCCGCGCGGGCCTTCGAGAGCAGACGCCGCCCCTCCCGGCCCCTCCCCGCCTCACTCCCCTCTTCTATACCCCCCCTCCTGGGGAAGTGCGTGCACCGTGCGCCTGCCTGAGCCTCCCCTTCCAGCGGCGGCGGTCGTGCGCCGGGGCCCCCCGAGGCTGCCACGCGAGGGGCCCCCGGCGGCAGGAGCCGCGGGCGGCGGCGCCCGGCCCGGGCCCGCGGGCTCGCCCGGCGGCCGCCGCTCCGCGGCCCCGCCGCCGCGCAGCGCCTGCCTCAGCGACCAGGCCACGGCGGCAGCCCCGGCGGCAGCGGCAGAGCAGCGGCGGCGCGCCCCCAGGGGGTGAGCTCGGGGCCCTATGAGGAGAGAGTCGCGCGGCCTCTGCGGGGGACCTGGCCCGCCCAGTCCGTGCCGAGCCCGTGCCGGAACATCGAATCCGCGTCGAGCCCGCGTCGAAGGCGCGCCGAATCCGCGTCGAATCCGTGAAACAAACTGCAACTTACAGGACAGACGAGGTCCCCCGAAGATGCGTCGTGACTAAAATCGTGTGGTGACGGACCGCGCGATGACCTCGGGACCCTCACCGGTCCGTCCACCACGCGGTCCGTCACCGCACGGCCTTGGGGCCTCGGAGGCCGCAGGCGCTCGAGGCTTCCTCGCGGAACGGCTCGAGTCCCAAAACTGCGTGGTGACCCCGAATCCCCACTGACTCGCCAAGCAGCGTGGTCACCACACCAGGTGAAAGCAGAGGGTCCGAGAGCTTTCGAAGCCCTCCCCGCCGCCGCAAGGCTACTCAAAAGGCTGGAGGGCCTCTGAGAAACCCGCCTCCTTCTGAGAAGGCCTGCCTCTTCTCACTCTCCCCCTCGGCGTGCCGCCGAGAGTAGACCACGGCCAGTGCGAGCGGCTTGTCTGGGCAAACGCCGCCGTGGCAACAGATGCCGTCGTCCAGGGGCGCCATCGTGGCGGACGGCCCTCTGCGCAGAAGGCAACCTTGAACTAAATTGGCTACCTAAGGAAATGAGCAAGATGAGGAGCAGCAGCAAGAGAAAGAAGAAGAGGAGGGGGACGAGTAGGGCGGGCAGAAACGCAAGTAGAATTAGAATTCAAGAGGACTCGCTTTCTCTCTCTCTCTCTCTCTATCGCTCATTATCTCTTCCCTTCCCTCTATGACTATGAGATGCGCGCACCAATATAACAGGCAAGACTGCATTGGCGCGTCGGGCCACACACTTTGGCCCTTCAATACTCGCAAGCAGTCACGGTGGCACACATACATTCAATAGTGGCATGTCTATAGTATATATATATGAGGTATGTATATATTATATTTGTATAACCTCGCCATCGCTTCCGTCCTCGATGTTTTCCTCATGCTACTCCCTCCTAGTCTCGTATGCCCTTTTTCTCGTCCTTGGTGTCGGCCTTCCCTGAGAACCCCGCTGCGTCCTCCTTCTCACGTGTTGTGCGGAGGCTCCTTCTTGGAGGGTCTCTTGGGGGCCTCTCGGTTTTCTTTCGGGTTTCCACGGGGACTCCTGGAAGCATCATGGGAACTGTCGGTGGGGCTGGACCCTCTGCGTGTTTGTTGGCGCCACATTGCTGCCAACCTCAACTTCCGTCAACGAAATCTGGCAGTTGTCGGGCTGCCTTGGGGTGGCATTGGGGCCAGGTTAGGCCGTCTTGAGTGTCGATCGGCTTTGTTGCTGGTCATGCTGGCAAGTCTCAGGCGATCTTGGGGGGTCTCTTCGGCGGCCCCGAACGCCTGGAAGACGGGAAAAACCTCAAAGCAGATACTGCATTTGGAACAAGTATTGTTTTGTTTTTCTGCTCGAGGGGCTCTCGAGGGGCCTTTGGGCGCCCTCCTTGCCACTTTGCGCCCCCATTATTCAGAAAGGTCTGGCAAAGACGCCCATTAAGCCCAGGAGGCCGTGGACACGTTTTGTCGGGGCGCCCAAAACGTCCATGGGCGGTCTGCGAAAACCGCTGACGCCAGAGGTCGAGTTTTGAGGGGGCGGGGGGGACAGAGGGACTCAGGATACCGATGGACATCGCAGTCGAAGAAGACAGGAAGATAACCGATATCTAGGTGCAAATGGAAGCTTACCGTATGATCGTGAGATCGTCGTTTCCTTCTTGATCAAACCCACACTGCTATAGCACGGCACGAGATAATATCTCGTTGTTGAACCTCTGGGCAACTACTCGAGAAAGCCCGCTCACTTCTGGGTTCTATCTGTCGCAATGCTGTCTTGGCGTCGAAAGCATATATACATTGCTGGTATCCGAATCTGCTCACGAGAAATGCTTAACGGTGCCCGCGGTGTGAGTGAAACCGATTTGGTCACAAACGCACCTATCAATATCCGCGATACCCGTGACAACCAAGTACCAAGTGTCGTGAAGGCGCATCCTAATATATGGCACGACTGTCTCCGTTGAAAATCTTCCCAACGTCGCTGATGTAGATCGCCCCGCAGCACGACGGAAACATCACCGCACTCGAACCTCCTCCACGAGGCCGCAATATCAATTAGATACTAAGCGGCACAACACCTTGCTGCCTCGGCCTGGGACGTTTGTCGACCGATCTGCTGCCATCCATCTGGTGCAAATATGAAAGGGCCGCCGCGACATGTACAACGTCGCCATTCTCTGGCGGGCAAAACTCCAAGTCTCTGACTCTCATCTTGGCGCGCGCCCATGAGTCCGCATGCTGGATCCCACTGGCCCATGCAAACAATAAACGCGTCCATTGGTAATGGTACTGTCGCTGGCTCCTGGACATCCGACAATGCCAGCGGCGTCGATCGATGATTCTGGAAACTTTCCATTGCCACATATTCTGGTTCACAAAAACTTGAACAATAGGGCGCGACATGGTCAAAGTTCTGCTGGTGAGAAAGACTCTGCATGATATGCAATGCGTGAGACCCTGCCGGCATATCTGGACCGGCCTAACTATGAACTCTTCCACCGAGTAGCGAACCAACTCCTCAATCAGGAAGTCCCACTTGTCCATGTGTTTGCGCGAATCCGCCTTCTGCCAAACCAACCTTAACACCCTCGCTCGCGAAATTGATCTGCTCATTCGGCGCAGAAGCGCCACTAACAATTGCGACCCGCAGGGGCTATGCACCTCCCTAAAATTTAAACTATGCCTGCGAGGTCATCGCAATCTATCGGTAACATCATTTACGGCAGTGATGCGATCGATCTTCGACGTCTGAAAGTAGGCCTGTAAGAGCGCCACTGCACGCACCTCCCCCATGCGTGTCTGGCACGCGCAGAGTGCTTGAACAAAAACAAAAAAAAACTGGCAATCGTGACCTTCTGCCTGTCACTCAGGCCGTCAGAGTCCTTCGCGCGGCAGCCAAGCATCTTGAGCGCCGTCAGATTTCCGCAGAAGCCATTTTGGTATAATCGCAAACAGTCCTACCTGATCCGTTCCAAATGGATGACCGCGCGAATGCGCGAAATTTATGCAACCTCATCTCGCCGAATCTCCAAGTCGGATCTTCCTTGGCTCATCACCGGATTGTCGTGCGTCCAGCGACCTGTGGATCATCCGCGTGAGCCGTCAGAATCGAACATAATGCATTAACGTCCACCGTCTCCGACAAACAACAAACTCTGAAGTGGTCGCTCTAGACTGGTCGCGCCCGTCTCCGTCTTGAGGCGAATGCCGAAGCGAGCTGAAACGCTGACGCTGCGTCACTAAATCCCTGGATTGCGCGAAGACGTTGGAAAACCAGTACTTCCCGACCTGTCCCCGGGATCTTCAGGCCCTTCGTCGCCGTCTTCACACTGCGAAGGCGTCGCCGCGCAATGTCTAATGGCATTGCGAAACAATCTCGGTCATGTCGGCATTCTTATCCAAGCACGCAAGCGTTCGCATTCAACTCGCCGCCACCCAATCCCACCAAAAACGCCGCGCAACTGTCCAATTTCTCCGTATAGAATTTGTAGAAGCCGCCCGCGCCGTTCCTCCGAAGTCTGCTGCCGAACTCCGCGGATATCACCGATATTCGTGAAAACCGCGTGGCTACACGCGCATGCTTGTCCTCGATATGATTCTGATTGTCGCGACATCCTCTTGCACAGATTTTGCGTCATCATCCGCTCGCATGCGACGCCCCCCTCGCAAACTCAAACGCAATCGCCAACTTTGGCTCCTGGAGGCAGGTCCGTCTTCCTTCTGGGCTTGGAAACTTCATGCTTCCAGACGGTCTCCAGTACGTCGTGATCTGCTTCATCAACTAGCTGCGCGTACAGGCGAAGGTCTGCGTCAGTCAATACCACGCCGCAACGCCCCGCATTGTGCGCGCGGCTGCTGTAGTGGCCCAGGCGATACACATGATCGCCCTGCGCATTAGAGCTGGCGTCTGCCGGCTCGCTGACCATATCGGTGGGCGCAGATGTCCCGAAAGCCACCTCGTCGCTCTTCCACTAGATGCTGCGCTGGCACTGGGGCCCCGCGTCGCTTCTCTCGCGCAGTGCATTTAACAAGTTCTCGCGCTGCTGTTCCTGATCACGTTGTCCTTCAGCCTCGTCTCGATCTGCCAGAGGTAGAACCGGCGGTCCTCCTGATGCTGGCCCTGACGCCCCCGATCTCGGCGACGCTGCAAGATCGGAATGAATGTCCCGGTCGTCCTCATTCTGCTCTGGCCCCTGGATGGCTGTAGCCATCCAGAGGCCGTTCTCTGGCGGGCAAAACTCCAAGTCTCTGACTCTCATCTTGGCGCGCGCCCATGAGTCCGCATGCTGGATCCCACTGGCCCATGCAAACAATAAACGCGTCCATTGGTAATGGTACTGTCGCTGGCTCCTGGACATCCGACAATGCCAGCGGCGTCGATCGATGATTCTGGAAACTTTCCATTGCCACATATTCTGGTTCACAAAAACTTGAACAATAGGGCGCGACATGGTCAAAGTTCTGCTGGTGAGAAAGACTCTGCATGAGATGCAATGCGTGAGACCCTGCCGGCATATCTGGACCGGCCTAACTATGAACTCTTCCACCGAGTAG